TTCCTTGGGTCCTTCTTTTAACTGGAAGAAGAAAGAGTGCAGTGTAGTGAAGGGTAGATTAAGGCCTCCCTCTGAGGTAGTAGAAAGCTCTTCATGAAGAGAGCCAGGACCAGCTGCTGGCAGGAAGGCCTGTAGGTTGCTGGTGATTCTAGTAGGCAGCTGTGACTTGTAGTCCCCAAAGCTGAAAAACAGGCTGGGGCATTTCAGCACCTTATGAGGGATAGAAAGGTTCTTCTCCAAGCAAAGGAAAGGAAGTAGTCCAGTTAAACTGCCTTTATTGAGAACTAGACGTTAATGAAGAAGACACAAACTTTCTACTTTGGATTTTGTATTCTTTTAATCCAAGCTGTAATTTGTATAGCATGCTGTTTATGAGTAAGAATGAGAAAGTTTTCAGTGGTTATTATTCTAATAAAGTATGGCTTTAATGAAAAACATAATTAAATTGATATTGTGCTATTACTGGTCTCTCTGTAATATTTATGTCTAATTGCACATTATTTTTCCCTGAGAAGAAATAATTAAACTGTCACAAAGGGATTGGGATGGGGCTGTCAAAGCTGACATATGTCCGTCAGGCATAGTGGCATGAATTGAGGCACTATTTCTCAGGGTTGCTTCTGGGCAGCCACTGCCTATCAGTCAATCAATTAGATTTACCCCAAAGTTGAAAGATCCAAGAAGTATACAAACATCAACTTAAGTGGGAAGTTGTGTCTTATAGAATTTTGTGAACTTTAATCTTTTCTTTCCTCACCTTATTTCTTATGAACTTTCTTCTTGTGTTTTTCTTGAGAGCAAGTCCCCAGTAGTCAACACATAGGAGTAAGTGTATTGCTATACTAAAAGTTTTGAGACTGGAAAGGTATCTTAGCCTGTCTTCCACCCCTGAATGTCACTGGCTTAATTTCTCACCTATTCTTATTCCTAATTGAAACGTTAGAGCCAAAGCCGGAAACTATAGCGCACGATAGAATAGTTAACCGGCTTACTCATGTAGTCTCAGAAAGAACCTCATGTATCTTCATGGAATGTGTCCACTGCAAAAGCATGCCTGCAGCTTTTCCTGTGCATTCCCTGTGTTAGATTCCATATAAGAAAGGCCACCATGCTCCCAGCACCTTCACAGTTATTGTAACCCATGGAATCTGTCCATCCAGGCCTGTTTATGTTTCCTGTCCTCAGTCCTCTTGCTGACAAGACCATTGCATGTCACAGAAGGAAGGAATACCAGTATCCTTTTCCTAGGATAGCAAAAACAGCGTGAGAGTAGAATGTAGTGAGAGGATCATTCAGTGATTTGAAATTGAGAAACACACTTGGGTATATACATTCATCACTTAAACCAGTGCTGTGATTTCAACACTATACCCTAGAGATATTGGATAGACTTGATTTGAAACCCTTTCCCACCTCCTCAAACTGCACTTTTGGACCAGATTTTGATGGTGGGCAAAGTTACACAGCCTCTGAGCCCAGTGTTTACATATAATTCATTTGAAGTTTCTAATCTTTTCTTACCCTTCTCATCGATTTACTTATAGCATTAAATGTAAATGTTACTCTGTCTGACAATCATAGTTACTGTCATTGAGATATTTTACCAGTGAGGTTGCAGGAAAACCTTTTTAGCTATAGGTCTTTGCTATACTATTTTTTTTTTCCAGGTTTCAAATGTATTTTTATTTACTGTTTTTGATGACTATAAATGTTTCCACTATGGAAAAGAAAGTTAGTTAGCACACTACATTTTCATGACCCGGGAATGGATTTTCCGAAGTCATCTTCCATAGAGTAAAAACTTACAAAAGCAAAACAAAAAACTGGCCTGAATGTTGGAATTCAGTTCTTTATATAAAGTTCCTGTAGAAACAAATTAAAAATAAAACAAATTAAAAGAATTAAAAATAAAACAAAAAGGAGGGGGAGGCAGGATTTTAAAAAGTAAAGAAAAAGGAGGGAAAAGTAGAGATGTTAAGAGGACCCGTTGCTCCTTCTACTTCTCTTTGGTCTCCTCTCCAGGGTCCCTTGCTCTCCTCCTTCACTGAGGAGTATCTAGCTTTCCAGCTGCCTTTTCATCATTATCATTTTTGCCCAGTCTTTTTTTAACCTCTCTCTTCAGTCTCTTTCCTGAATTCTTCAAACTTTGTTCTAAATTTTTGTGTATTCTCAGCATTTAGAAAGCAGCGCTGGCTTGGGCTACTCATTGGCCAGGGTCGCCACCAGCATTTGGCTCTAGCTCCATCCTGGGCGTGATAAAGGGTTGGCGCAGGTCTGCAGGGTTTGCCCCTCCTCGGGAGGGGCGGAATGTCCCCTTATCCTTATGCCTCAGGAGCTGGACCTCACTGGTGCCTCGTCCCACCTCTCTGGGCTATCATTCTTTGAAGCAAATAGGAACAACTTTGCCTGCATTTTAAAAAGTTTCTCCTCATCTTCCTCCAGCATTTTAATTTCTTGCTCAGGAAGGAAAACTGTTGATTTAAACTGGGAGTTGTGGTTGGACTTGTCTGCATTCCTGGTGGCGAGGCACAGTCCTCCTGAGTACTCTTGGGGCTGCCATGGACTGGGGCCGGCTTTGGTCAGCGAGGACTCCGCGGCCTGTAGCTGACTCCTCCTCATAGCTGCTTTCCTCTGTCAGTCCCCAGCGCCTCCCACCCACTCGCTCTTTCCTCCCCACCCCATGACCCCTGTGGGGGAAACACCTGCAATATTATTTTAAAAAGTAAAGCGTTCTCTCTGTCTCTCTACTCTCTCTCTCCTCCTCCCCCTTTCTCCCAACCCCTTCTCTTTTTGCCTCTCTGCCCCTGCCACTGCCTCTATCTCTGTTTCTTGTTCCCTTTACGAACTGTGTTCCCCTTTGGCCTCTACTTTGTGGAAGTACTTAGGATAGAAATTACCTATTCGTGCAGGTTTGACATGCCATTGGGAGGTGCCGTTTTCATGGATTCCTCAGTAACTCTGGTCACAGTTTGTCTGTCTACACCTGTGACTACTCCTAGGGATATCCAGTTCTTCTGGTATCTCTTTGTTGCAGAGGGAAACCTTAGAGTTTGGTAAAACCAGTTAACATGTCAGGACAGTACAGCTTGGGAAATGTAAGGGTTTCTCCTGAAACCATTCCTTTGAGATACAGAAAGATAAATGGCTACTGCATGAGTGACAAAGCCATTTGATTGTTTTGATAATTTAGAAAATTTTAGATCCTGAAAACTTGATTTCTTTTCTTTAAATGATTTGCAGGCAGAGACAACACAATGTATTGTGCATCTGATCACATGGATTTGTTTCTGTGAACATTTCTCATTTTTTTTGTAGTGTCTCTAGCCACGAATACAAACTTTAAAGAGGAATGATCACTTCACCTGCTGTTAACTTGAGACACTGTATTGCTGCTTTGAGACTATCCTTACCTATTGGCTGGGAGGAGCAAAACAGCCTTCATAGGAATTGGAAGGTGAAGTGAAATAATGCATTAGTAACTTAGTCTAGCTTCTACACATACAAGTTATTATCCTTATTTTAGACAGTGTTTTTGCCGCATAGAAAGGAGGCCAAACTCCCTCTACCTCTGTCTGTCCCTTCTGCTCCTATCTTCCCCATCTAGGCCCAGCAGCACATTTATCCTGGACAAGAGGAAGGACCTTGCCTTCCATTCCTATAACAAAACAACTTCTGTGCTCTCTGTAGGACTGGGAGATTCACCTCAAACAACCAGCCAGCCAAAATACCTTCCTCAGGCAGTGTCATCTCTGAAATGACGTTACTTACAGCCAGCCAGTACTTGCTTCTCTCTCTTTAAAGTGTTTTGTTTTAGTCCAGATACAGGGATTTTTGTGAGATAGGTCTCAGAGTAATAATGATACTCAAATAACCTTGCCAACAGACAAGATTAATGTGTGGTATTTGAAGTCAGGGTGATAGTGACCTTTTGGGAGAGTGGTGGTTTCATGTGTTTACTTTAGAAAAAAGTACTAAGCTATTCAAGGTTTTTGGCTTTTCTGTGTATATGTAATAGACAGAAATGTTTATTAACTTTAAAAAGGTACCTACCCCTTTTCTATAGTATCCTAATTCACATGTATGTATATTATAGTCAAATAATCACAGATCTGTGTTGAAGGGTCATGTTTTAGTAGAGAAAATCTTTTATGAAATGAAAACAGAGGAAGGATTTTTAAGCCTTTAGTCTAAAGTGGATTAATTTATATGTAATTCTTTTGATCATGTGCCTGTATATGTGGTCTGTAATTATTCTGTGGAGCTTGTTATTAATTGGTTTTTGGTAATAGTGAACATGTAGACATTTTGCTCTTTCCTTTTTACCCTAGAATTATAATTCTTACAGTCTGAGAAATGCTTTCTTTCTTTCTTAAATTAGCAGTTATTTGTCTGAATGGAGGGGGGATAATTTATAAAAATACCTGATTTAAAAATCCAGACTCGGGGGCTGGGGATTTAGCTCAGCGGCAAAAGCGCCTGCCTGGCAAGCGCAAGGTCGTGAGTTCGGTTCCCAGTACCGGAGAAAAACCAAAAAAAAATAAAAATAAAAAAAATAAAAAAATAAAATAAAAAATAAAAATCCAGACTCTACTGTTAGGTGTAGGGTATAATTTTTTTTTTTTCTTTTTGGCACTTGATTTACATGCTTGCTTCTGCTTGGTTTTGTGTAATAGCTATTTATTCTGAATAGTAGGACAGTCAGAAATAAGCTGGTAAATGGGAAAAGGACATTCCTTCCCCCATAGATAACAAAAATAAGTAGGACTTAATTTAGATTTTAGTTAGATTTTTTTTTTTTTTTAAGCAGGGAGGGTCTCATTCTATAGTTTAGCCTGGATTGAACTCACCATCTAACCCATGTTGGTTTCAAACTGGTTATACTCCTGCTTCAGCTTCCTGAGTGCTGGGGTTATAGGGTATACCACTATGCCTGGCAGGTATTTTCTTAAAAGCAGCTCATTTCATGAAGAATGCACTTTAATTTATTTATTTTCTCCTAGATTGGAAGGAAGACTGATGAAGAAAAACAACATAGTTCAGGTAGAGATTTTTAATTTCTTTGTTTTTATGCTTGTTACTATTTCGTGTGTATTCTTATAGGAAGATCTAAACAAATAATTCCTTGTGGCTAACTCAAGATATATAAGAAATATTTGGGGACACACACACACACAGACACACACACAGCATTTAATGTAGTTATATGTACATTGAACAATCATGTATTTATACAAAACAAAATATAACTAATGCTATTTTCCTATCACAGAATAATTTTTCCAACTCTTTATACACATATTTGATGTTGGTGTTTTCATTAGTAGAGTCACATTTTCAAAGCATTCAATACCATTTTCCACAGTATAGTAAGTATCATTTTAGTTGTTTGCAATCCAGTTCTTTTATAACTTACATATAGAATTGGAGATTTTATTCTAAACTCCAGGTAGCCATATGCATAATGTTAAGACAGTTACTATTTTCATTTTTTCTGCCTAGATGAACACGAAAAATCTCAACTGTGTACCAGTGTGTAGAACTGCTTCTTTAAAACAGTCTTCTCTCTCCTCCCTACCCTCTCCCTCCCTCTCACTTTTCTCCTTCTAATTTTCCGACATTATTTATTTTGAGGTGGTTATGTGTAGATTAGTAATTCGAGTAGTACTATAATAGCCATCTCCATTCTTTTTATAACCTCTTTGCCTAAAGATAGCCCTTTCCAGTTCTTTCAGTTATATTTTCTGGTATTTTCCTACTCATTTCTAAACAACACAGTATATGCATTAAGTGCCATTTATTGATTTTTTTTAAAAAAGTTAGGCTAGTGTTGATTTTCTCCTCAGGGTTGAGTTTTCATAGGAGCCTACAGAATGGGAGAAGATACTTACAAGCCATATATTGGATGCAGGCATTAATAACCAGAACATATAGCTCTTTGTACCCTTATTCTCAGCTCTCTGTTTTTCTTGACACAGTCATGTCATAGTCTGTGTTTAAATAAACACTAATCTTTACTTTATTATTACCATATTGTGTTTGTGGCTGAGCTCTGTGATGTAAATCGTGATGCCTTAGTCTGTTCTGCTTCCCACTTGGTTGTGAGTGAAATGTTTTATGTCTCTGGAAAATACTTAATATTTTTCTTTATCCCTAGAATTCTGCAATTTCAATATGGGCTGGTGGGCTTCCTTCTTCCCTCTCCCTCCTTTCCTCCTTCCCTCCCTCCCTTCTTCCTTCCTTTCCTCCCTCCCTCCTTTCTTCCTTCCCTCCTTCCTTCCTTCCTCCTCCCCTCCCCCACTCCTTCCTTTCTTGTGATTCTCTCTGCTTGGAAATGCATGTCCTTCCATTTCAAATTTTTCTTTTGTAGTTTCTTTTGTAATTTCTTTATGTCTTTTCTGCTTTTGTTTGGTACATTAGTTGGATGTTTGCTTCTACTAGTTTGATCCTTTAACTTCTTTGTGTTCTTTTCTTTTCCATCTTTCTATTTTGTACTTTCTGAGAGGTTTTCTTAGTGTCTGTTTAATTTTTAACTTCATCTAGTATGTTTGTCATTTTGAATTTAATTTTTTGATGCCTCTGAATATTTGATTTTTTAAAAATAGCATATGGTTTGATTTTACAGCTGCAGTATTTTCTCATTTCCTTTGAGAAAAAGAATTGTTTTCCTGTTCTCATCTTTTTTTTCTTTGCTATTTGTGGAACACAATATTTTCTTTATTTTCTACTTGTTTTGATTTGTGATTTTAATGTTAAAGGTTTTTCTGAAATGAATGGTAATGTACTCATATTTAAGAGTGAGATGGTAAAAAGTAAACTAGAAATTGGTTAAACTAGAGAGTCTGGGGAGGGAGGGACCTGGCTATCACTCATCAGAATGTATTGATTTTTGTTTTTCTCCACATTTCAGTTTCTCCAAACGAGAATCCTCTTTCTGAGGGGTGTGAGCCTGACCATGAAGGTGTGTGGGAGCCACTCAGGCCGCACCTGTAATGGTTAGATATAAATGAGACTGCTCCAGTCTTTTCTGGTATCCCTGAGCCTGAAGTCTTGACATACCATTTTCTCCCGAGTACCTGCTACCTTTTATGGAAATAGGGATGGTTTGTCTGGCTTTTCTAGGTGGGAGAAAGGGCCTGTGTTTTTTCTTTTTGCTGAAAGCAGCACACATCTATTATCTGAGCAGTTCTGTAGGTCAGAAGTCCAACTCTGGTTTCATTAGGCTAAAATCACAGTGTTGACAGGCTGCATTCTGTCGTGGAGGCTCTAAAGGAGAATCCAGTTCTGGAGGCTGGCTGTGTTCCGTGGCTTGAGGCCCTCTTCCACCTTTAAGACCAGCAGTGACTAGTCAAGTATCCTTCACATTGCATTATTTTGAGGTACTCTTCTATCTGCCTTTTCCACTTATATGAACCCTGTAATTATATTGGGCCCACCCAAATAATCTAAGGGCAATATCCCAATTTTTCTTTATTTTGGTAAAAACCACATAACATAAAATATACTATCTTAACCATTTATATTGTATAGTACAGTAAATGTTAATCATGTGCACCTTGTTGTACAAAATATCTTAAGACTTTTTGTCTTGGAAAACTGCAACTCTAAACACACTGAAAAACAGCTTTTCCCTCTTGCCACCCCCTGGCAAAATAATCTTACTTTGTTCCTTAAGTCATATAAGTGGAATCATGCAGTATTTTGCCTTTTTGTGATTGGTCAGTTTCACTTGGTATAATGACCTCAATACTCATCCATGTTATAACAAATGATGTAATTTTTTTTTTTTTTTTTATGGTTGGATGCTCTCAGACAGTGAACAATTAGGTGGCTTCTGTTCTTCGCTATTGTAAATAATACTGCAGTGAACTTAGATACACAAATATCTCTTAAGCCTCTGCTTTCAAATCTTTCAGATTTACATCAGAAATATCAGAAGTAGGACTGCTGGGTCCTATGGAAGTTCTGCTTTTAATATTTTGCACAACTGCCTGTTTCCTATAGTCATTGACATTTTACATTTGTACCAACCCCCCCAAATTTAAATTATTTATCTTTTTGGCAGTAGCGGTGTTAATGGGGATTCAACCCAGGGTCTTCCCACTGAGCTGTATTCCCACCCCTTTTTAATTTTGTTATTTTGAGACATGGTCTTGCCAAGATGCGTAGGTTGGGCTTGAAGCTGTGATCCTTCTGCCACAGCCTCCCCGAGTGCTGGAATTGTAGGCATGTGCCACCGTGCCAGCTTCTTTGCTTCCTTTTTTTTGATAACTAGCTTGTCAAGTCACTTATATACATTCAAAACAAACATTAAGTTTTCTTTCTAAACATTATTTCATTTTTCAAAACAAACATTATTATTACATGAAACAATATGAGACTTGTAGAGGTTTTGAATTTAAGGAAACATTTCTCTTTCTAACTCATTCTTTTCTTTCTTTCTTTCTTTCTTTCTTTCTTTCTTTCTTTCTTTCTTTCTTTCTTTCTTTCTTTCTTGATAAACCCTTAGCTTTATAAACTGTATGTTAGTATGATCAGGAGATAATTTTCTTTTGTAATACGTAAATATATTATTTGAAGCTTTAATTGAATACTTTTAGATTGATGGAGAACCTCTTTATTTTGAGTTTTTAAAAATACTGTAACAACTGCTTTTTGTGACTATATTGATTATTTACAGGAGTAGTGTGATTCCTTATAGATAGGATAAAAATGATTAAACGGGGATTGCCTGACATAACTAGGTTCTGTATAACTGTCAAAAGGGTGATTTCTTCTGTTCTAAGAGTTGTTTCTTTATAGAATTAAGCCTGTTAGTGTTCTCAAGATACCACTTATTTCATTTTGTTCATAGAATCCCTTATGATTTCATCTGTTCAGGGATAGCTTCCAGGAGTCCATGATTCTCTTGAAATATGAGTCGGGGCAAAGGAATAGCCTTAGTTTTCATCAGATGTTCTATAATGTAGGCCTTATTATTAGCCTAAAAAGATTAAGAGTCTACTTCTTACAGATTGTAGGAGATAGAGAAAGAACAAATGAATGTTGCTGATTAAACGCTATCAAAAGTCACTGCCTTTGTAGCTTCCAGTTGATTCCACATTCTTCCACATATAAGTTGTGAATAAAGGACTAAATGAATAATACTATGTTCTGTTTGAAATGCAAAGCATTACTTTTGGCTTCCTGGTTATGTATGCACCCATTTATAAACACATAAATATAAAGATATCAGGGTGATGTTCTGGCCCCAGAGGAAAAAATCACTTTTTATAAATCAGCTCAAGAAAAGGGTAAGTTGATAGTTAGCTTTGTTTCAGTTTGAAACACTATGATTAATTTTTCATAATTGACTATTGAAGATAGTTGATAAATTATAAAGGGAGAAACATTTCTGTAGCATAGAGTAAAAGACTTAGTCTTTAATTAAGAAAAGGTAGAGGGTGTAACTTTTATGTTATTTATATTTTATGACAATAAAAAAAGCCTAAAAATTAAAATCTAAGTAAAAAGATGGAGGTGAGAGGTAGAACAAGTACCTACCTGAATTTTTTGCTTCCAGTCTTTAATGCTTTAATGAGTTATACTGGATTTGTGAGGTTCTTTTAGTTTTCTGTGCTTCTGTTTTGAAGTTATTAAGCTTGAATTGCTCCTCTGTTTCAGGCACACCATTGAGTTCTTAGGAATGCACGAAAGTGTCTGTTTAAGAAGCATATGTCATACAAGACAAGAGCCTGCATCAGGAAGTGTGCATGAGAATTACTTTCAAGGAAGCTATCCATAGATGCAAATAGTAGTGGTCAGAGGTATGTAATGTTGGAGAGTGGCCCACTTTACCGTCCTGAGTCCAGTCAGGCTGTTTCTGTGAATGGAGGCCAGCCTTAGATCTCAGAGGTGCACTGTCTCTAATTCTTTATACTTGATGGGGTGCTGGGAGGTCACTTTTCACTCCTGGAGCAGCTCTGACTCACCTCTTGAGAGTCCTTCCTGTTGCCTTGAAGGACAATAAAGACAGATGATGTTTGACTCTGGCCTCATTGCTT